TGGAACCGTCTTAATGTAATTAACCTCTTCATCTGTAGCCGGTATAGTGCTTCGATCAAGTTTAAAGTGTGCCGCCAAAGGGGTACTTACCGGTTTGGACTGATCAACAGAGAATGCCTGCAAAACTTTCTCAATATACTTTTCTTGAGAAACCCACAACCGTCTTGCTTCTCTATCACGCCAGATCTCCATACCAAGTATTTTCTTTGCCGCACCCAAATCCTTCATCTCAAACTCACCCTTTAGTAGAGCCTTCAAGTCATTAATTACAGCCATGTTCTTAGCTGCAATTAACATATCATCCACATACAACAGCAGATACACAAAGGAATCAGTAGAAACTTTCTTCGAGTAAACACAGTTATCAAACTGATTACGAGTATAACCATTAAACACCATGAATGAGTCAAATCTCTTGTACCATTGCCTCGGAGACTGCTTCAAGCCATACAGAGATTTCTTTAACAAGCATACCTGGTCCCCTTTAGAGCTGTAGAACCCCTTCGGTTGAGACATGTAAATCTGTTCTTCTAGATTACCATGAAGGAATGCTGTTTTTACATCTAGCTGCTCCAGCTCCAGATCAAAAGCACCTACTATTGCCAAAAGAACCCGAATAGTTTTGTGTTTCACCACATGAGAAAAGACTTCATGGTAATCGATTCCTTCCTTCTGTGAAAACCCTTTTGCCACCAGTCTCGCCTTGAACAGGTTCAACACCAGGAATTCACTCATTTCTTTTAAAGACCCACTTGCATTCCACTGGCTTCACCCCTTTTGGTAGTGCAACAAGATCCCAAGTCTTGTTCTTTTCAAGAGACTACATCTCTTCATTCATTGCCATAATCCAGGTTTCTGCATCTTTACTCGCCACAGCTTGTTTATATGTCTTTGGCTCATCAAAGCCAAGATCATCACCAACCGCTAGTGCATAAGCAATAGAATCCATGTCACACGTATTGACACATCCTGCAAATCTAGCTGGTTTCTGAATATTTCACTTTCACTTTCTTGCTGCTATGGAATCTTTAACCCCAGTACCAGCGTCATCAACTTCCCCCTCAACCGGTTTCTCTTGAGGTTTTGACTGATCTGGTTGATCGGATTGATCAATAGTATTATCCTGCTGCTTTTCCTCTAACACAACTCTGTCAGGAGTCTCAAACTCCACCCTCTGGTTAGCACCACAATCTTTTGTACCTGCAATACTTTCACAACCTCTACTCTGATCAAGCATAGCAGATTCATCAAAGGTTACATCTCTGCTAATAAGAAATTTACCAGGATTTTTACCTTCTGTACACCACAGTCGATAACCTTTTACTCCTGTTGCATAGCCTAGAAATATGCATTTTACCGCCCTCGGCTCTAGCTTACCATCATTCATGTGAGCGTATGCAGGGCATCCAAATATTCTTAGATTAGAGTAATCAGAGGGTTTACCGGACCATACCTCTTGAGGAGTCTTTAAGTCAATTGCAGTTGATGGAGATCTATTAACCAGATAGTTAGCAGTGTTTACTGCTTCAGCCCAGAATTGCTTAGACAAGCCAGCAAATATGCGCATACACCTAGCACGTGCCATGAGGGTTTGGTTCATTCGCTCTGCAACTCCATTTTGTTGTGGTGTGTGTCGTACAGTGCGGTGCCTCACTATACCTTCTTTCTTGCAGAAATCATCAAATGGAGCGTTGCAGAACTCCAACCCATTATCAGTTCTTAGAGTCTTGACCTGTTTACCCGTCCGTTTTTCAACCATGGTCTTCCACTCCTTGAACTTCCTAAAACACCTCATCTTTAGTCTTTAGAAAGTACAACCAGACTTTTCTCGAATAATCATCTATGAAAGTGACAAAGTAAGAACACCCGCCCTGCGATTTCACAGGATAGGGACCCCATAGATCTGAATGAACATACTCCAGAATTTCTTTTGAAGTGTGATGACCGGTACTAAACCTCACCCTGCGTTGCTTCCCTTTTACACAAGCCTCACAGAATTGAATTTTACCTATCACATCTCCACCAAATAAACCCTGCTTGCTCAACACAGACAACCCTAGCTCACTCATGTGACCTAATCGCCGGTGCCACAAATTTGTCCTGTCATCATGTTTATCCAAGGACTGGGATACCGCCGCCGTTCCCATCACTGAACTGCCCGGTAGAAAATAAATTTCATGCTGCAGTTTTCCCTTCATCATTACCAGCGCACCTTTCAGGACTTTCACCCACTCACCTTCACCATGATATTTTAAACCATTCTTGGCTAAGGTGCCAAGAGAAATCAAATTCTTTCTGAGTTCAGGAACATACCAACAGTCAAATTTCCTGACAGTACCGTCGTGCAATTTTATCTGCACTACCCCGCTCCCTTTTATGGCTAGAACCCCATCATCACCTAACTTCACCGTTCCATTCCACTCTTTAAAAGAAGTGAGTAGATCACGAGAGAACGTCATATGGTGAGAAGCACCGGTATCCATAATCCAGGAATCAGCAGTACTAGCACTACACGCTGTCAGAACTTCACCAAAGTCTTCATCATCAGAACTGTCTTGTACCACAGCAGCACTGCTGCCACTGTTACTAGAATCAACTTTTGTATTCTCTTCTTTTGTGGACAATCCCTTTTAACGTGCCATTTCTCCTTGCAAAGATAACACTTAACTTTGCTAGAGGATTTTGATTTTGAACGCGACCTTCCATTCCCGTTACCCCTCTCATGTGGTCTTCCCCTACCTGCAAACAGACCTGAACCAGAACCCTCTTCCAGAGAAACCTTTCTTTTCAATTCTTTGGACATAAGGGCATCTTTCACATCATTAACATAAATTGTAGTTCTACCATATAGCATAGTATCTACAAAATTCTCATATGAACCAGGTAGTGAACACAATAAAATTAGGGCTTGATCTTCATCATCTACTTTAACCTCAACTCCTTGAAGATCAAGAATGATACGGTTAAATGTATCAAGATGATCCTTTACCTGAGTACTTTCGGACATCCGGAGGGTGTAAAGACGTTGCTTCTGATATAGCCTGTTCGTGAGAGAGTTGTTTTGGTACTTCTCACACAGTTTATTCCATAACCCAAAAGCCGTTGTCTGATCTACAACCTCCCGTAACACCTCATCAGTAACTGACAGCAAGATCCCGGAATGAGCCCTTGCCAAAATCTCCTTATTTACCTCCTCCTTCGTGTCTTTAGGAAACTTGTCTTCTCCCTCCAACGCAGCCGCACATCCTTGTTGAACCAGAAGTGCCCTCATCTTGACCTTCTAGAGCGTGAAGTCATTCGACCCATTAAACTTCCCCAGATCAAACTTATACAAGGACATCTTCAATAAATGAGATATGGCTCTGATACCACTTTTTATGAGAAAACGAGAAAGAAAGCAAATAAAGAACACAGAGGTTTTACGTGGTTCGGTGACGGTGTGTCAACCTACGTCCACGGGCAGGAACCGGAGAGATTTTATTATACTGATTAAGAGATTTACAATATGTCATCCGACTAAGAACCATAGTTGTCTATTTATAAGCACCCCAAAACACCCTAAACCCTAAGCCCATTTGTTATTAATTAGGATAAGCCCAAAAGGAACCCTGCCAATTGAAACAGCACTTTCGCTTTGGTTTAGGGTCAGGTAGACCGCTAAATCCAAGTCACGTTTCAACACACATATTGTAAAAAAAAATTTAATCAATATATATATTTCTATTAGACATATTATTAAATATTTAGTTCTCACTATCTAAATAACTGGTCTATACTACTTACATTCTCGTGCTCAAACAAAAGACAAAATCTTAAATGGGTCGGAGAGATTATATATATTAGTAATATAAATTGCATTATTATTTTTCTCAAAAGAAATTATATTTCCTCCGTCCAAATTCAAAATATATTTTTTACTATTTTCATCCGCCACACTCAAAAGTATATATATTTTATTTTAGAAAAAGTAATTATATACTAATATCAAAATATCCTTTTAATTTTTACTTAAATTATAAATATATTATTACACATGTAATTAGTTTGGACGTAAAAACCAGTGAGAGAATATGCTTAAAATTAGTGTTATTGGCAGACATCCATAAAATAACAAGAAAAGCAAAGCACACGTCAATCCATTGTCTGCATGCAACCGAATAATCCAAAGAATTTCTTCTCTTTCTCTACTCAGAATTAGGAATGGTCGGAGAAATGTATCCTATTTATAATATTTCCATTGCATTTGTTTAGTGTATATTTATTGATATTCCGACATGGTAAATCATCACTTCAACAACATCCAGTTTATATCCCAACAGAAACTACTACTATCTATGACAAAATGCAAAGCCAAAGTAACCATGAAAGAACTTTTTATCTTATAATACTCTCAAAAGAACACGACCAGAGAGGATTAAATCCTATGAATACTTGAGAACTCCACGACCAATAGTAATGTGCCCTTCTCCTCCCATGCTAAAATTACTCACCACACACCCTTATAAATATCACAGGTTTTATGGACCATAGATTAAAAAATCAAAATGAAAATATGAGTGCGGTTGGAGACTTTCACAACACGACGGAGGAAAGGGCATAACTTCACCGTCCAAGGACATGCAAGTCTCCCACCTCACAAATCGATGAAGATCCAAAGAAGAGACATTCGGGTGAATTCCGGACTCTTCAGCAGCCATATCAGGACAAAGAGACTGTTGAAGTTCTGAAACTTTACAAATCTTGTATATTAATAAAACTTTATGTATATGATGTTATTTGATTATTATTTTTTTGAAAAAATTACTTCAGATAATAATTTCAGAAGTTTCAAAAGTGTCATATAAATAAAATTAAATAAATGAATTATCAAAATTTTGTTTTCTAACTTTAGCCTAAACACAGCCGACAAGCCCACTCCAATTGTTTTAACAATATTAATAATCTATACAAAAGTTTGCCAAAAGCCAATCAAATATTATACTACAAAAGTTTGCCAAAAGCTTCTATAGTGCCGCCAGAGCTAACCACTGTGTGCAATGCCGTCTTAGCAAGTCAACGGCAAGAAATCAGTCGAAGAAGAAGAAGAAGAATAGCGTTCAAAATGGCAGCAGCTTACGCAGCTCTATTATCTCTTACAAACACCATCACTCTCGAGCAGACTCCACGCCACCCTCAGATCTCCATCGACGACGATGGAGGCCTCATCGAAGCTCTCCAAGAAAGAGTCGATTTCTTTGTCGGATTCCTCGAAAGTGGGCCGAAGAAGGGAGCCGATCATTTCGAGAATCAGATTGCCGAAGCAGCATATGCAGCAGAAGACGCCATCGAATCCTACATGGTCGATCGAGTTCTTTCTGGAGATCATATCTCTGCAGGAGACTACGAGTCAGCTATCTTATGCCAAAATTTGAGTACAGTAATACAAGAGATGGATTCGATCAAGAATGAGTTGGAGCTGCAGATTAATAAACTGGATGACCAAGAAGGGAGTTCATCACGTGCTCGGCACGGACAGAAGATCGAAATTGAAGATCTGCATCCTGGCAGCTCCATGTCTACTATTTCATCAAGTAAAATGGTGGGATTTGAGGATGAAAAAGCTCGAGTCATGATCATGCTTACAGCATTCGATTCGAAGCCTTCGCGGACCGTTGTCCCTATAGTTGGGATGGGCGGAGTTGGTAAGACTACGCTTGCTAGAAACATCTTTCAAGATCACCTTATCGTAGAACATTTTGATGTTCGTGCGTGGGTTACGGTGTCTCAAGAGTATAATGTTGACGAAGTTCTTAAAAGAGTCCTTTCGAGTATAAAAAAAAACCATGAAGAAAATGAAAATTTAGGGGAACAAGTGCACAAGAGTTTGTTCGGTAGAAGATATTTAATTGTGCTCGATGATATGTGGAGTATCAATGTTTGGAATATCGTACAACGCTTATTCCCGGATTGTTGTGATGGAAGTCGAATTTTGGTGACATCTAGGCTTTCTAAACTTGTGGATGAATTAAGCACTTGTAAAGTTGAGATGAAGAACCTAGATGGAGAGGATAGTTGGAGTTTACTTCGAGAAAATGTTTTTGGCCAAACTAGTTGTCCTCTTGAATTACTAGATGTCGGAAAGAAGATTGCACGAAATTGCAGAGGACTTCCTCTGGCGATTGTTGTTGTTGGAGGACTTCTTGCGAAGTTCGACAAAACTATAGAATATTGGGCGCATGTTGCTGAACTATCGAGCTTTTCCGCGTATGTAGAGGATGATGAACATTGTGCAAAAATACTATCTTTGAGTTACAATCACTTGCCTATTCATTTGAAACCGTGCTTTCTTTATATGGGAGTATTTCCCGAAGATTACAAGATTCGTGTATCTAAGCTCGTAAATGTGTGGATCGCGGAGGGTTTTTTGAAGCCGGTCCGAGGAATGAAGCTTGAAGAAATAGCTGAGAAATATTTGTTAGATCTTATTGATCGAAATCTTATAATGGTTCATGAATGGGGATCTCGTGGGAAAGTAAAATCTTGCGGCGTTCATGATCTTTTGAGGGAGCTCACTTTGCGGGAAGCTCAAAAACGGAACTTTCTTTGTGTCGTAAGAGCGAATAGCTCTGACAATCCACCAAACATGACAAGCCAACGTCGCATTTCTATTAGGCTGAACAAGAAAGAATTTCCATGGAATATTAATTCCTTGCTATTGAAATCACATCCTCGGTCTCTCATTGTAAGTGACTACAAGGTATTATCCATGATCTTGAGATCCAATACTTTCGAGTACTTGCAATCAGAATCATTTTACTCTTTGTCCGAGCTACGAACAAATAAGAAGTTGTCGAGAATCTTGAGGTCCCTTATTTTCGGACTGTTGAGGGTAATATTTGTGATCGATGAAAGTTTCAATTTGAGGCTTGAGTGCGACTTACATGTTTTGTTTAGTCTTGTTAACTTGAGGTACATTGATTGTGTCGGGAAAAGAAGGTTACCTCAAACATTGGCTTCTTCGTTCGACCTCATGAGGAATCTACAAGTTCTCATTGTGAAGAATATCGAATATCAATGCGATGAACTATCTAGCATTTGGACCTCGCCTCAAATTCATCATGTAAGAATTGAGAAAACTTCTGTCCCTGAACGTCCGCTCGATGAACAGAGACAACATCCTTCGATTGTCCTTGAGAATTTGTGGACACTAAAGGGATTGAAGAACTTCAGATTCGACGAAGGGGTTGTGAAGAAAATTCGCGATATAAACAAAATGAATGTTACTTACGTTACAAGGAATGAAAACTGGTCTCAGTATAGTCTCCATAATCTTGGCTGTTTGCAGAAGCTCGAATCGTTGTATTGCTCTTTCTACGGTCCTAGGAAGAATCTAAAGAGGCTGCTACAGAATATATCCTTTCCCCATTCCCTCAAGAAGCTGTCCTTATATCGCTGCGCATTTTGGGAAAATATGACCGCGATCGGTTCATTACCAAAGCTTCAAGTGCTCAAATTGCAATATTGTTACTTCGATGGAGCTGAATGGAGTCCTGTCGAGGGGGAATTTCTTAGCTTGAAATACCTGTACCTGAAACAGGTTAATCTAGCAAACTGGAATGCGGATAGCGCGAATTTCCCACGTCTCGAACAACTTTTGCTTCATGAACTAACAAGCCTAAATGAAATACCTTTGGATATTGGAGAAATTGCGACGCTAAAGTTGATTCAGTTGGAGTATTGCTCCAAGTCCGCCGCCTTTTCAGCTCAAAACATATTAGAGGAACAGGAAAGCCTCGGCAATGATGGACTTGTTGTTAAAATTTTGGACTAACGATTATAATCTCATGGCCAAGCAAAAGTTCCTCGCCGAAACAGAGTAAGAAAATGTGTTTAATTTCAAAAAGTTGGACAAGGAGATATATATATATATATATATATGTGCGTGTGTTTGCTCGATATTATTTCAATTATTACCACCAGTTATTGCAATTTTCTCTCCTGAGAATGATCTGTCTGCATATTCTGTGCAAGATTAATTTGATATATATTTGCACAAATTGTTGCTGGATCTTATTTTAGTCTTTTGGATTTCATTATCTGCTTGAATAATTTATTGTTTCTTGATTGATTTTGCTATAAAATGAATAACAAACATAGAACTCACAGCTAACCAAAATTGAGTGTGGATTAGCTAACACTCATCCAAAATTTATATACTAAAAGTCGGTACAAGAGTAGGTGTGTTATTGTTGCGAATCCGAGGACCAAGAACAGAACAGGGGATGTGCTGGGCTTGCTTTCTAGTGGATAAACTTCAAAACATGTTTCTATTAAAGTAGAAATGCATCCTAATTTAATGGAATTACAATCCAAAATGAACATGAAATAATTATAAATAAAATATGTCTTTTAAAACTGAATGTAGTAAATAATAATTATAGAATATGCTATTTAATTTTGAATCATATCTTAACACTCCCTCTTGATTCAAAAGAGCAAACATAAAACTTCGACGGGAAGTGAACATGCTTATCTCGAGGAAGTGACTTGGTTATGATGTTAGCTACTTGCTCATGTGTACTGCAATACTTTAAAATTATTAAATTCATAAACACAAGATCTCAAATAAAATGTACTCGAATATCAATGTGCTTTGTCCTTCCATGGTAGGCTGGATTCTTCGACATAGAAATTGTTGCAGTATTGTCGCAAAAGATTTCCATTGGTTCAGATTGGACTTGAGTAAATCTTCAAGAATACGACATAGCCAAACTGCTTGACAAGTTGATGTTGTCGCTGCTACGAATTCAACTTCAGACATTGAAAGTGCCGTGGATTCTTACTTCTTTGAGCCCCAACACATCGAACCAGATCCAAGACTAAAATCGTAAGCATAGGTGCTTCTTCTATCCTCCAAGCAATATGCCCAATCGCTGTCCGTATAACCGATTAACTTGAAATAAGATGCATAGCTATACCATAATCTAAATTGGATTGTTCTAGCAACATACTATAAACACTATTTTTGCAGCACCAAAGTGATGAGCAATGTCTCATGGGTATGCATCAAATAAATCAATCATTCAATCAAGCTTTTGAATTGTTTCTCGTTTGCTTGTTGATAACCATCATCAATATGTAACTTCTCATTTAAGCATATTAAACATTTTCAACAAATTGACAACATACTTTTGTTGAAACACAAAAATTCAATCGTGATATTGCTTCACTTCCATTTCCAAAAGATATTGCAACTTGCCTAAGTCGGACATTTCAAACTTTGTCGTCATATGGACTTTAACATCGTCAATGACAGAAGGAGATGAACTCATATAAATCATATCATCCCCATATAAATCATATCATCAACATAAAGGCAAAGAATGAGAAAATCATTTTTACCTTGCTTCTTCATGTATTCTTACTTCGTTCAAATCAATTTTCACAAAGATAGGAATCTATCTTTTCATACCATACACTCGAAGCTTGTTTTAACCTACAAGGCTTTGTGCAGCCTGTAGACTTTCTCCTCATTACTTTCAATTATAAATCCTTCGGGGCTGAGTAACATAAGCCTCCCCCTTTAAATCACCATTTAAAAATGCTGATTTCACATCAAATTGCTATATCAATCAATTTAAATTTACAGCCATTGCTAGAAGGATTCTCACAGTCTCAAATTGTGTGACGGTAGAAAAAGTGTCAACATAATTAACTCTTTGCTATTGTGTATAACTCTTGGCCACAAGTCGCGCCTTATATTTTTGAACAACGCCATCAACTCCCTACTTTGTTCAGAAAACTAATTTAACTTCAATTGGTTTTTTTTTTTTTTTTTCCTTCTGGCAGATATACCAATTCCCAATTCTTATTCTTTTTTAATTGAGGTGATTTCATCCTTCATTGTTGCACTCTATTTTTCTCTTTCCCTTCTTCTTGAAGGGTTATAGGATCACCTAAAAATATAGCATAAGAGTTTGCATATATACCATCAAATGATCGAAACCTGAGTCGAGGATTTTCATCATCATAATTACTTCTGATCTAGGTGAATATGGTGATGACAAGCTTGAAGAATATGGTGAAGGCGGTTGCTGTATGTCCCTTCCAATGGTCTCCTTTTCACCGAAAACTCTAGCGAGAGCGTTCCTTGAATTGTTATCTCATTTCCAGCTTGCTTATTCATTAAAAACCACATTCCTATTTATGATAACTTTGTCCGCAACAGGATCATACAATCTATAGGCTTTAGATTGTGAACAATAGCCAATAAAAATGCATTTTGTTGATTTTTCATCAAGTTTTCTATGATGAGATGCATCAACTAAATCATAGGCACCACAACCAAATACCTTCAAATGGCTTAATCTCGATTTCCTTCGATTCTACATCTCATATGGCGTGCGATTCAAAAAAGCCTTTGTGGGAGAAAAATTTAGCAAATATACTGTTGTCGCTACTGCCTCAGCCTAAAAAATATCTAGAAGTCCTTTGGGTTTCATCAAGCTTCTTGCTATCTGCACGACTGTTCTATTTTTACGCTGGACAACACTATTTTTCTCCGAAGTGTATGGGGTTGTTAATTCTCTTCGTATTCCATGCTCATCACAAAATTGATAAAAATTTATGAGATAAAAACTCACCACCTTTGTTTGTACGCAACACCTTAACATATTTTTCGAATTGATTTTCCATAAGAGCCTTGAATTTTTTGAACATGTCGAATATTTTTGACTTGGCTTCTAGAAAATAAAGTCAGCTCATCTGAATGTAATCATCTATTAGCAACAAAAAAAACTTTCCCCAGTCGAGAGATTTTGTTTTTATCGGTCTTACCAAATCTACATGTATAAGCTCAAGCCAAGTAGATGCACGTAATCTAAATATTTTGTTTATGTCTAATTACACATGACAAATTATCAAATAAGATGGCATATTCACTATCAATGAGTTGCTCAACACTCAATAAATTTTGAGTTAACATATGAACAAAACGTAGGAACAAAGTAAACATCATAGATGAATTTACTCTGATCATTCATGACTTCAACGATGCCTCTGCCCTCAACTTGCATTTGTTTATCATCTTGGAGCCTTACTTGTAATTTGTAAGTTTTTTCAAGCTCCTAAAACAACGACTTTATCCCTGTCATGTGATTACAACAACCACTATCTAAAAAATATTATTTCAAGTGGTTGTATCACCTCAGCAAATCATAAACAACTTGACTTCGTTATCTCGCTGTTTAGCATGACAAGCCTAATTTTCTCACTTCCAATAATAAATTTTTATATGTCCATACCTTTTACCGTAAAGGCATTGCATATGACTTTTATTGCCTCATAAATTATTACCACAATGGTTATTGCTTCTATCATATAAAGAACTGGTCTATACTACTTACATTCTCGTACTCAAATAAAAGATAACATCTTAAATGGGACAGAGAGAAAATATATATTAATAATATAAATTGCATTATTATCTTTGTCAAAAGAAATTATATTTCCTCTTGTCCAAATTCAAAATACATTTTTTCCTATTTTCGCCCGCCACACTAAAAAATATATATATTTTTTTATTTTAGAAAAAGTAATCATACACTAATACCAAAATATCATTTAACTTTTACTTAAATTATAAATATACCATTGCACATACAATTACTAAAGTCAAAGGATAAAAATGTCAAAACCTCTTACACATTTTAATTAACCAATAAAATATTATTACTTCTAATTTACTACAAAACAAAGAAGCATTTCATTTAGGACGGAGGGAGTATATAAATAATAAATTCATACTTAAATCATAATTAAATATAAATCATATCATATATATTTGAAAATTAAGAAATATATAATCCATCCTGCATACTACTAATTTTTTTTAAATCATTTTTTATTCTAATTCGTTTTTATATAATACTCTGTCTCGGCTATCGTGTCCGGGTTACTGTAGACACGAAAATTTAGAAAAAAATATAATTAATAAATAATTAAAAATATATTAGTAAAAATAATTATCTTATAAGATGAATAATTATATATTAAGATTAAGATAACTAATTAGTTTAATTAAAATTTTAAAAAAATTATAAATTATAAACTTTAAATGAGATTAAGGTGTTTAATTATTTTTAAAAAAAAAAGGTGACTTAAGACAGACAAAAATAGTAATATGGACCCAATAGGTGGAACTAATGAATAATAAACATACTAATAACTATTTATAAGAATATATTTTTTTTCCCATATTTGTTTTCTGCAAAAAAGTAAAAACTAAAAAATAAAAAAGCTATAGTTATCATTTATCAATATCATATTACTCAATAAAATTTAGAATCTTTTTATTTATTAATTCATATATAATAGTGGATCATATTAATAATTATTTGTAAAATTATAATTCCAAGTTGGTTCAAACAATAAAAGAAAGAGCTATAGTTAGTATTTATAAATATGAAATTTATATTAATTAACACATATTTTCGCTTTTAGATCAAGAATACTTCCATCGTCCCATGATAGTTGAACCTTTTAAGTAAGGACATGGTATTTAAAGTAAGAATATTTTAAAGTTGTTATTATTTTATATTATTTTTATATATTTAATAATATTGATAATTTTAAAGTAAATTTAATATAAATGATTAAAAAAATTAAAATATATATTCAAATATTTTAAAAATTATATAGCAATAAAAAATATGTGCAATATGGATATCATTTTGTAAAGAATAAAATTTTATTTAATACAAGTAAATAAAAAATACTTTTATTTATTTATAGTTAACATAAATTAATTTTTATAAAAGATGTGGAGTTTTAAATATAAATAAAAATATTTATTTTATTTTTTAGGAGAGAGATAAAAATAAAAGAATTTTGACTACTTGATTTATGATGTTATATGTTATGTACTTAAGTGGATTTATATTTTTTAAGTATGCTTTGATTTAGTAAATTTTATCCAAAATAGAAATATATCAATTGTTATGAGACATTCAAAAATAAAAATTATATCAATTGCGGTGGGACGGAGAGAGTATTATAAATTTAATACTCCATTTGATACTTAATCAAATATCCAAATAATATTGAATTAATTATATTGATTACAAAAATTCTAAAAGTATAAAAATAATTTTAATTTGTTAATAATTTTAATAAAAGTAAGTAATATTAATAATTATTTATAATATTATTTTTACCTCATATTGCTTTCAACAATAAATATTTATAATGATCAATATCATATTAATATATATATATATATATATATTTAAATGATGTATGACATATTTGTGCAAAATAAAATCTTATAAAATTGACACATTTTATTACACATAATGATCAATATCGTAGTAATATTTTATTACACATTGACTTCAACAAAAAAAATAAAATTATAATTATTTGTATAAATATGACAATTAATATTAACTTACACATGTCTTATCTTTTAGATTGCGACCAAAAAACTTTTTTATAGTAGATATTTTATATATAATATTTACTCTCTTCGGCATGTAATTCTGCGCTCATTTGACCGGACACAAATTTTAATGTAAAAATATACTTTTTTGACTTTTTGTACTTTTAAAGTACAAGAGCAAAATAGTCATTTATAGTATAACATAAAACAGTGATACAAGTAATTACAATACTTAATTTTTTAATTATATTAAACATGTTTAAATTTTCTATATTCAAACAAAAAAAAATGAAAAAGAAAAAGAAAATCTTTTATTCCATAGCCGCAGTAAAATTAGATTTACTTTATTTTTTTTAACAATATACAATCCTATATTAGTGAAAAAATTTTCCTCCAAAATGTAGCAAAATTAAGAGCAAAAAATAGCCTAGAATACACTAGGATCTTAAATGCCAACAAAATAAATTTTCCTCTAAAAATCACCATCTAATTCATTTCCCAAACATATGGATTAATGCCAAATAAGTTCCCCCCAAAATACAACAAAATTAAGAGCCAAAACCAGTCTATAAATACCCAACATTTTTGCATTAAATACACTTTCAAATCAACCATTCATAAAATCTTTCTACTAAAAATCTGATCTTTCCATTAGAAGTTACAGAGGAGGAAAGAGAAAGGTTTCAAATCTGAAAGCTGAAACAAAAACTTTGGTGGCCCAATTTCTTCTCGCACACACCAAAGACGGAAAGCTAGAACGAAGAAGGATCAACGAGTGCGCAAAAATGCTAGCGATCTCGAGGAGTACAGTTTCTAGCATATGGAGGGCAAGTAAGGTTAAATTTAGTAAGGTTAAAATTAGTAAGGGTGAACCTATTGTTTTCCAAAAAACTGTGTGGTCACAACATGCAGATAAAGAAAGGTTTGATCTCGTGATGTTTGAAAACATTCCTTTAAAGAAATGGTCAACATATCGAAGAATAGCGAAAGAGATGCATGTAAGTAGGCATGTAGTTCAAACCTGGGTGAAAGAGGGGCATATTAGGTCACATAGCAATGCTATACATCCCGAGTTAACCATAGGCAACAAACTATGTAGGCTAAAATTTTGTTTGAATGCTTTATTTTACAAAGAAGAAGAGAAGAAATTCACATTCAAATGCATGGACAATGTAGCTATACATCCCGAGTTAACCATAGGCAACAAACTATGTAGGCTAAAATTTTGTTTGAATGCTTTATTTTACAAAGAAGAAGAGAAGAAATTCACATTCAAATGCATGGACAATGTAGTGCATATAGATGAGAAATGGTTTTATATCACAAAAGAGCATGATAGGTACTATCTTACCCCTGAAGAATCCGACCCTTATAGATCATGTAAGAGTAAGAAATTTATCACAAAACTTATGTTCTTATGTGCTTTTAGTCGACCTCTATACTCAACCAATGGGGAGCTACTTTTTGATGGGAAATTGGGAATGTTTCCCTTCACAAAAGTAGAACCAACACGACGAAATAGCAAAAACAGACTGAAAGACACTCTTGAGACCAAACCAAATGACACTATCACAAAGGCAGTCACAAAAGAATGTCTTATAAACCAGGTATATATATTCACTTTCAGCTATTCATCATATAGTGAAAAATGAGACAGCCCTTTAAATTCATTTATTTTAATACATGCAACAACATATTTTCATTTTACACCGACACTAACATAAATGTCATGTATATTTTGAACATGCATTTCAGGTATTACCAGCAATAAAAGCAAAGTGGCCAAGTCTAGCATCGAAAAATATCAATATCCAACAAGATAATGCAAAGCCACATTCAAGATGACGATCCAGATTTTAGAGAAGCTGCACAGTCTGATGGATTCAATATCCACCTTGTATGCCAGCCCCCTAACTCACCGGATCTTAACATCAACGATCTAGATTGGTTTACGGCAATACAAAGCCTACAAATAGAAACATCATCACACACAGTGGATGACCTTGCACGTAACGTGCAATTGAGCTTTGATGGGCTAACTCACACAACTTTGAATAATGTGTTTCCAAGCTTGCAAGCCTCTATGATACAAATTATAAAATGCAATGGGAATAACAATTATAAACTCACACACATGAACAAAGAGAGAATGATTCGTGAAGGCACACTTCCAAAAAATTTAGACGTTGAAGAACAAGTTGTCAAAGATGGTTTACAGTTTCTAAGGTTGCCCGAGAATGAATCAGTAAGTGGAATAGATATAAATCTTTTGATGTATAAAATGTTATATGCTAAATTATGTCTGAAATGCTTAGTACATAAGGTATGAAAACTTTAGTTTTTTGCCAAAGCTATATTTTGAGTTAGAAAATGCAATGTATTGATTGTTTTGTGAATTTTTGTATGTACTAAATTAATGAATGACGTCCAAGGATGAATGCAGAAAGGTTTTGCCATTTTGATTTTTTAAACTTGAATTGGAGAATATTTTGAAAATAATCATCCTTCAGGCAACCAAACAGGCCTAAAGGCATGCTGATGACATAATGCCACTTTAGCAACTTAACAAAACATATGTCCATTAATGATGCAAAAAGCCAAAAGCCGCCTACAACAATTTTTCAATTGTGGGCAACAGATGGGGTTGCATCTTAATTAACCAACAAATCCTTCACATTCAATGGGCATTAATCATCACAAAGTACGATATTTTCAAGCATCAAATAGAAGCTTCATTTATCTCGGTCAAATTGCTGAAAACATGCCAACAAATGCACAAAAAAGCCCTCTCCCAGAATGTATTAATTAAACATACCCCACATCAGTAAGTAGAATTATCGCACTAGGCACCCAAATCAAGTACATTTCCACAATGAGATCCCTCAACTCTGGGTGTCTTGGCCCTCTCAAAGGGCCCCAAATTCTCGAGAAATTATCAGTATACGGGGGACTATCAAGCAAAGGAGCAGCAACAACATCAACTTCATGATCAGTAATGGGTAAAAGAATTATACCAGCCAGAGGAGTATCAATATTGTGGTGAACCATATTTTCTAAAGTTTCCATCACTACTTCATCCGAATCGATCGCACCCACAAGATAGGGGCCAAATCCATTGCCATCATACCCTTCCAACAAAAATCACAAGAAATAGAAACAAAAAATTTAATTATTGTTGTTCTTCCTTAAGCGAAACCAAAAATCAGTTCAAATAAAAATATTAGGGCACAAGAACAAACCCATTTGTGATGAAGGATGAGAATCGAACCCCCCAGTAGAAAACAACAACGAATCCGACCAACCCACCGCCAACTTCGCCTTCTTCATCACCTTTTCGCCGTTTCTGGCGTCGACAAGGTAAGAGTTGCGCAAATCATCGATTTTTTCTTTCTCTTCCACAAAAGACATTAAATCGGAATTTTCATCCATGAGATCAATGGGAAAGTGCGAGAGAAGATTCCGGCAACAAAGACAACAAGCGAACAACTTGAAACTGATCAGAAAATCACGAACGACCGCGATAGGATGAAGCCCTAAATCGCCATGGAGGTGAACGATGGAGTGAGAGATCGAGAAACGAAAAATAACGGTTGGGTGGGTTAATGAATAGCTGGGTGGGTATAAATTAATTAGGTTTGTAAGGTTAAATTTAATTTTGGTTATTAATTTATAAAGTGTATTTTAGGATTTGTAATTAGTGGTGTTTGATGAGTGTCATTTTTTGTAAATATATGGGAACATTGGGGATAAAAATTAAGAAGGGTTGGTGTACACTTTTACTAAATAAAGTATGAAAATATTTTTGAATGACAACCAAAAAAGAAAAACGAGCACATAATTAAATGACAAAGGCAGCATTATTTTTAGATATCTAATTATTTGAATAATATGTATACTTTATCATATAAAACACTCCTAAATAGCACAAGTTACAACTAGTATATATATATCTTTGACAACTGATAAAGTTGAATTTTTTCTATTTTTAAATTATTTTTTTTGCCCCCACCATTTTTATATATTATTATACTAGCTTATGACTCGAACAATACAAAAGAATTTTACTATTAAACAATATAGTATTTAATTAAATTTTTATTAACTTCGTTTACTTTTTAAAAAAATATAAAAAATAATTAATAATAAAATCGTATATTAATTAATAAATAATGTGTTTATGTGTTAATTTTTAATGTATTGAATTAAAAGAAAATAAATAAAATAAAGCAAAAGTGGAATCATAAATTGTTCAAATTAAAATACTATCATTTACGTAAAAAAATATGTTCTCCCTCCATCCCTTAATAATCTATCCATTTTTCTATTTTGGTATGTCCCATAGCAAAGTATCAATTTTTTTTAGTAACTGTATTTTCTACTAACATTAAAAATACCCCTACAATTTACAATATATTACACAAATGTCATTCCTTTTATATAACACAATACTAATAAGATTATTTTAGTGTTTTCTACTTTATTCATACCACACCTCAATATAATACTAATATTTCTAAAACTTCGTGCAAAAAAACAAATGAATACATAGATAAGGGATGGAGGGAGTATTAACTACAATGTAAATTAAATTTTTTTAAAAAAAAATCTATTATAATAATATCAAATAAATTTAACAATCTACTTTAATAATGTGGGACAAAATATAACTTTATAAATTTAATATTATTTGTATCATTGACCTAGTATCAGTACTCACTATCAAAAAAATTGTTTTATGCTACGGCCGAAAATTCGTAACAAAAAGCCAATTTTCGTGCAATTTGCGTATTTGCTACGCCTTAGTGACGACTTTTATCCGTAATGTGTACTCGCGTAATGAATGTTTTTTACCACACACATTTTCGTAACTACTACTCTTGGTCAACGTTCCTTATGGCAAGCTTTTTGTTACGATATTTGTTACAAATTTTTGCTTGTAATAAAAAGTCGAGCTTTCCAGACATGTGCCAGGTCTTTTAGTCACGATATTTATTACAACAGTGTCTCGCGTTACCAAAAAATTTTACTCTGATCCCTTGTCAGAGTACGCTTTTTGTTACGATCTTTTGTTACGTCATTGAAGCCGTAATAAACAATATATTCTCTTATAGTCACGAAACCGGCCATAACAAAAATATTCCTTCATATTTGTTACGTCCAAAAACCACTTTTCGTTATATCATTTCATTTTTTTGTCACGTCATTTATTTTATTGTTACGTCATTGAACCATTAACAAAAATATTCATTCTTATGGTCACAGAACCGGTTGTAACAACAAACACGAAAACCAATATTTTGTTACGTCATTTCTCGTTTTTGTTACGAAAAATAGCGTCTCATAAAAAAGAGTAGTTGTGGAACAGTTGAATTTGTGCGTAACAAATTAACCTGTTGTGATCTTTCTTATACAACCATGCTATAAATATTACGATCGGCTGCAAACAATAAACACTATAAGGAAATCCCAACATAGGATATTAACATAACAATATTTACTAGTCGATGTCCTCCACCAAACAACAAAGTAAATTAACCCATCAAACAAGGCTAGAAACATCTCCACTTCGACATTATATTCCACCAAACACAAGCATTGCAAACATCCAACCTAGTAATAAGCAAGTGGGGAAATCCATCAATCCATAGCAACAATTCTTACCACACAAAAGATACATCCAAATTTCTATGCATCTATTCCATAGGTATTTCACATAGCCATTAGAACCTACCATCCAAGCACATCCACGACATGCAATTGATAATGCAAACAGAGGCAAAACATAAAGAAACCGGTCGATATGCTTCAGGAGTGGCGCATGAGCTGCAATTACCAACATAATAAGGTTTAGTTTAAGTAATAATTATTTTAATTTTGGAAGCGATACGTGAAATTTGTGAAAGTAGATTTATACATCCTTATAGTTCCACTCAATAGAATCTTCACCGACCACCTCGTGAAAGGTAGTCGCCCCAGCAATTGTCGGTAAAATAAGGGGTGTGTCTGGGACTGTGGCGGATGTAACGAAAACCTTGACCAGGGAAAGTGTGCCACCTACAACATTCACAAGAGCAATTTAAATGTATGTACTTCACCGTATATATCAACACATTAAACTGTATGTATAAACATGTCATAAATCATTTGAAGTGTATATTTCCCAACTTATATACCACGAGTATGTACATTCGGACATGTACTACGATACATGATATTTGACCCATTAATTAGGCACCAAACTACACTACTTTCTAATTTTCAATGCGTTTGTAACTCGAATTATAAACCAGTCATCCACCAATAAAACCTATGTAAAGCAGCAGATCATGTACAATATTAAAATAATAATTTCAATAATTAATAAATCCTTATGGTTACCCCCAAATAGGACTGCTCCATGTATGCGTTGTAGTATCATGCCATTGGAGATTAATTATCATTTCTGCACTAAATATGAGCAGACCCTCGCAGATGAGTTCAAGTTCAGAGTATCGACCACTGATAAATGAAAATATATGTTAGTGATCCTCATCACATAAAAACCTATTGCGTGCAGGTCGGGACTACACAAATACTGAATAATAAAGCAACCATTCATCGGTTTTGGAAGCCATACGTGAAAGTTGTGAAAGTAGATCCATACATCCTTATAGTTCCACTCAATAGGATCTTCACCGACCACCTCGCGAAAGGTAGTCGCCCCAGCACTTGTCGGAAAAATAAGGGATATGTCCGGAACTGAGACGGATGTAACGAAGACCTTGACAAGGGAAAGTGTGTCACCTACAACATTCACAAGTGCAGTTTTTTAGTATGTAGTTTACCGTATTTATCAACACACGATCAAACTGTATGTATAACATGCCATAACACATTTGAAGTGTAAACTTCCCAACTCATACAACACGAGTACATACATTCGGACATGTACTACAATACATGATATTTGACCCATGAATTAAGCACCAAAACACACTACTTTCTAATTTTTTATGTGATTGTAACTCAAACTATAAACCAGTCATCTACCAATAAAAACCTAAGTACAACCGTAGATTATGACATTATGTACAACATTAAAATAATAATTTCAATAAGTAAAGCAGCAACCTAATCATATATATATATATATATATAAAAGAGCTCAAAACTAGACCCCACTTTTTTGTAAAATTCCGTAATTCTGCAATCTCATAATTTTGATATTTTTTTGGGTTTTTTTAATTTCTTTTTTTCTTTTACAGTTTTTTACACAGTAGTGGACATATGAAGTTTATTTTTAAGTGAATTAGTTTTTCACGGAAGTTTTTATAGTGAACTATGAAACTTTATTTCTTTTATTGGAGAAGATTGACATCCGGAGAAGAAATTTCTTCAGACGAGTTTTACAGGGTGTTCTTCTTTTATTTCTTCGGGCAAGTTTTACAGCTGTGTTCTTTTTTTTTTTTTTTTTTCTTCAGGCAAGGCAAGGGTGTTGTTCTTCAGGCAACATAAACTTTATTTCTTTTATTGGAGAAGATTGCCATCCGGAAAAATTTCTTCAGGCAAGTTTTACAAGGTATTCTTCTTTATTTTTATTCTTCACACAAGTTTTACAGGGTGTTCTCTTTTTATTTCTTCAGGCAAGTTTTACTGTGTGTTCTCTTTTTATTTCTTCAGGCAAGTTTTACAGTGTATTCTCATTTTATTTCTTTAGGCAAGTGTTAGAGCCGTGTTCTTTCTTTTTTTTTTCTTCAGGCAAGGCAAGGGTGTTGTTCTTCAGGCAACAAGTTTTACAGTGTGTTCTCCTTTTATTTCTTCAGGCAACTCCTTTTATTTCTTCAGACAAGTATTACAGCGTGTTCTTTCTTTTTTTTCTTCAAGCAAGGCAAGGGTGTTATTCTTCAGGCAACAAAAACTTTATTTCTTTTATTGGAGAAGATTGCCATCCGGAGAAGAAAATTTCTTCAGGCAAGTTTTACAGGGTGTTTTTCTTTTTTTTCTTCAGGCAAATTTTACAGGGTGTTCTCCCTTTATTTTTTCACGCAAGTTTTACAGAAATTCTTCAGGCAAGTTTTACAGGGTGTTCTCCTTTTATTTCTTCAGGCAAGTTTTACAGGGTATTCCTTTTTTATTTTTTCTTGGTACAAGGGTTTTTTTTCTTCAGGCAAGGGTGTTGTTCTTCGAAAATTTTACTTCTTCTTCAAGTTGTTATATTTTCATATTATTTGATTCATATTCATTTTTATTAATTAAATTTTTTAGAATTTTTATATAATTTTTGAGCCATTTTTTTCTTACGGTAGAAGAGAAAAATTTTCTACTACCACCAGAAGTCCGTCTTTTTGAAGTAAGTTTTTGAATTTACATGTTGTTGTTCTTTTTTTTTTAATTCCTAACTCAGTATTTTTTTTTACAATCCACCGTAGGAATTTTTTTCAAAAATATTTTATCTATATTTAATATTTAATAAATTTTCATGGATGAGTTATCCAATTTTCTAACAATTATCTATCTTTTTCCTACAATATATTATTTTTATTAATTTTAATTTTAATTTTATTTTGAATAGATGAATATATAGAAAGAAAAATCCCCATAGG